TTTATCCTGTTAAAATATTCATCAACAATAATAATAATAATAATAATAATAATAATAATAATAATAATAATAATAATAATAATAATAATAATAATAATTTAACCAAGACATCATATATTCTATTACTAGAAAATACATGCATGTAGAAACCCCTCGCCTTGCTGACAAAACCATTGTATTTTCCGAACATGAAGTATTTAAAGTAGTTGTCATGGTAACACGATAATTTTTTAGAATATTTTTACAAATGAAAATACCCTAAAAATATCACTTTTAATTACAAAATTAGCGATTCCCCAAACATATATATGTTAGGTATGTTATTATATGTAATATAAGCTTCAATTTAAGGTAAATTCAACCTCAAACGCTTTGCAAGACGTTTTAAAATGTTCTTTTAATATAAAACTAAACCGTGCCTTTATCGAAAAACTTTGAGTTTGAAATAAAAAGATTTGAAATTCTCGCATTCAAACAACATTGCTTTAAATTCTTTTATATTTAAAAAAATTAATATAATAAAAAGGATAATCAACAAAGAAACACTGAACTTATATGTCTTTTTCATTTAAAATATACACACACAACGATCAGCGGCTTTTAAAGCAATTATAACGCGAACAATAATATCAATAATCAATATATTCAAAACCGTGAAACCTACCTTCCGCGTTAACGTCGGCGCCTTTACTTCCTTCTTTTATCAATTCTTTCGCCTTTATTGTCTTAAAAAGCTTTTGAAATTCACAAAATCTTGCAAAAATGAAATATATTTGCAAGAAATCATCAAATCAAGAAATGTTTGCTATTTTGCTGTTCTCATCCAGTCGTTATAATGCAAATTTTAAATTTGACCAATCAGAGTTCGCTATTCATGACATTCCGCAATATTTTTGAGATCAGTGAGGATGACCACCCACCCAACACTCCAACACCGTTGGTCACCCACGCCCGCGATCATTGACGAACTTCAGACTTCGCAAATGCTTTCGTTTTCCCCGGTGTAAATAGCCGGGCGGAATTAGTACCCTCGCCCCGGGCTTACGCCCGGACCGGCGCTCCACGCCGTTGGCTGGGGATAATAAGTAATTTTAACTATTTTTCTAATATTTGTAGGTACTGGAATTTTCTTTTTTTTCGTATATATTATTGCAATCGATCATTAAAAATCTGAGTCTAAAACCTGTTGTATGTAATCATTTTTCTGAATTAAAGCTAGATTGTTGCATCAATTAGGTGCCCTCTCATTGGAGTACTGTGTCATGTCCCCTCATGACATAAGCAGTGCTTTAACAGTTACAGCATATTTGTAACTAGTTGACAGTTATAGTTACGTTACCAAAAACATAACTAGTTACCGATACAAGTTACAGATGCCAAAGTGTAACTAGTTACAGTTACAAAGTTGCGATATATTTTTTGTAACTTAGTTACAAACTTACATGTTACATTTGTTGATTGCAATTAACTCTTTTAAAGCACGGCCATTAATCTTAGTACGTGCACGTACTAAGTCTGTTTCATTCATATCTTCGGTTCAGTCAACGTTATGTAGATGAAAATACAACCATTCGATTCAGTGTAAAAATATATACTAGTTTATAATGATAGTTTTAGTCAATGGCTATATTGCAGCGATTTATAAGCTTTGAAAGTCAAACGGGCTTATATATGATCAAATTACGCAATATTACTAACAAATTATAAACATAGACATACCTTTCGCCGAACATAACTTCGCCCCCTTGAGACGTATGCTCATTCTTGTATTCTTGATGAATGAAGCAGTTAAAAATAACACGTATAGTGTTATTTTCAAGCTTCTATCTTTAAAACGTGAGTTTTCTTGCCGAATTTTGCATTTCTGCCCGAATTTGCGTTAATCCCAAACCGGAAATACGACGAAAACCCGTCAAAACAATGTGTAGTTTGTATCGCGTGACTCTGGAAATGCCAGAAATGGATTCTACAGGTCAAAGTGCACCCATACGCGTGAGTTTGACGTCATCCCGGCTAAAGGGAGCTCCTTATTGGCCAAGTATTACGTAATACAAGCGCGTGCGAGTAAAACCTGATACCTTGAAAAATTCAAAATAAATATTTCTACTCGCCGTATTCATACGAAACTTTCTACACTAAAGCGCTTGAATACAAAGAGTATTTTGCACATATATCCTTTCAGAAAATGACGCCAAATTATAGAATATATTCAACTTTTTCTCTTTTTCCCGTTTGAATGTTTGGCGAAGCCGTGAGTATAAATATATGATTGTTTCGGTTTGTGTAATGTTTTGATGGCACTTGACCCCCCGTTCGAAAGGTTATATTGTGAGGATTTCAATGGTGGCATTTATTTAAAAGGGGGGTAAATACTCGCCGAGATATTTATATTAGAAAAATTGTATCGAAATGTAATAAGAAACCAGTTGTCGAGAAAGAGTTAATACCAATGAAATATGGTATTAATACTAATGCAATTAAGGCCTCAGTCGCCTAGTAATACTTCTGTAAATAGTAATGAACAGTGTGATGCTGATTCATCCACTTTATTAACAAACATACAACCTCCTAAGAGATCTCCACATTGTTCAACATGCCATCATACAAGAAACGGGCATGGCAAGGGATCTTCTAATGCTAAATGCACTATGTGTCCAGATAATATATGCTCAGCTAGTGGACGTAGTAAGCCATGTATACGTCATTGGCACATATCTCAACAAAATTCTATGGAGACAATTATACCATATTCTGTTGTTAAATTTACTAATGTCAATTATGTTAATGAATATCTTCTATCTTTTTGTCAGTCCAACATGGACAGTCAATCATTGGGAAGTAATGCATGTACAATTATTGCTGTGTTAGTTGCTATTAACTTCCTTTCTGATACTGCATGGTTTTCACAACACCACCTCCTCTCAACATTGGATTCCAGTTTCCTTGCCTACAACTACCAACTGTTCACTGAGGGAAACCAGATGTACGAGAGCCTTGATGAGGAACAAATTAATTATTGTGCACCTGAAATTCTTGAGCATCCAGAACTTGGCTTGATAGACAATGCTGAAAGAGGAGAAGAATATCAGTTCAACAATTTTGCAGACTTTTTGTTAGAATTACAAATGTTATCTACAAAAAGAATTAAATTAGCTTTTGTACTTATTTTTCATCCTGATAAATCAATGTCACTATTAATTAATGAACTTGGTGAAAGTAGGTTAATAGATAGTCACTCACATTTAGATAGTGGTGCTATTATTGCTACCGCTTCAGAAAATAAACTACACTGTATGGTCAATTATATTCAAGAAATGATTCTTAGAGACTGGGGGAATACAGTTCAGCCACCATTTGACGTGACTACTGTAAAACTTAAGGCATGCTAGTAAATCTAAATCATCCCTATTGATAATACTTTGCTAGACAAAATGGCTATTAATGATTTATTAATAAACCAACTGGGGGGGGGGGTACCCATGCAGGTCTAATATACAGTATTAGTTAATTAATGCTCGAGTTAATGTATAATCAAATCATTGTGGCTTTTATCTATTATAGATGTATTTACTACCATTCAATAAATTTGGTAAAATACATCTAATACACTTTCCCTTTGAAAAATTAAATTGTCTGGCATGACAAAAGCAAAGTAGGGCACACTTTAGTATTTTCCACTTAAAAAATCAATCAATTTATGGATTTAAGCAGCAATGGTTGGATGCTTTTAGTGAAATGTTTAATAGGTCAAATGTGCATTATTAGTAAGGGAACTGTCAAGTCCAATACCCTTCGAAAAAGGTGGGGACGATTTAGTGTATTGTAGGCCATCCCTGTTTAGAAGGCGCAGAATGCAAGAACTTTCATATGACAAGATATTCCCTTGTCATGGGCACACCCAAACATGTACAGTATGACTCAGATGTCATACATGATAGTATAATTTTATTACT